AGCATACACCTGCAAGAGACACTCACAGTCCTTAGAGACCAGAGACCCAGAGAGAGAGAGAGCAGAGAGAGAGAGAGCAGAGAGAGAGAGCAGAGATCCAGAGAGAGAGAGCAGAGAGAGAGAGAGCAGAGAGAGAGAGCAGAGATCCAGAGAGAGAGAGCAGAGAGAGAGAGAGCAGAGATCCAGAGAGAGAGAGCAGAGAGAGAGAGAGCAGAGATCCAGAGAGAGAGAGCAGAGAGAGCAAAGATCCAGAGAGAGAGAGCAGAGAGAGAGAGCAGAGATCCAGAGAGAGAGAGCAGAGAGAGAGAGAGCAGAGAGAGAGAGTAGAGAGAGAGCAGAGAGAGAGAGTAGAGAGAGAGAGCAGAGAGAGAGAGCAGAGATCCAGAGAGAGAGAGAGCAGAGAGAGACAGAGCAGAGAGAGAGAGCAGAGATCCAGAGAGAGAGAGCAGAGAGAGAGAGCAGAGATCCAGAGAGAGAGAGCAGAGATCCAGAGAGAGAGAGCAGAGAGAGAGAGCAGAGAGAGAGAGAGCAGAGAGAGAGAGAGCAGAGATCCAGAGAGAGAGAGCAGAGAGAGAGAGAGCAGAGAGAGAGAGCAGAGAGAGAGAGCAGAGATCCAGAGAGAGAGAGCAGAGAGAGAGAGAGCAGAGAGAGAGAGCAGAGAGAGAGAGAGCAGAGAGAGAGCACCTGTGAGTGGTTGAGGTCTGGCAGCCCTTGGGCAGTGAAGCGCTTTGGGAGCTGACACTTGATGGTGACGTCCTCGACCTCGTGTCCCAGAAGTTTGTGGTAAATGTATCCGGATACTGACGTCTCATCCACTGCAAACGTCTTCAGGGCGCTCTGCATCCTGGGGGAGAGACACCATAGAGTCAGAGACAGAGAGAGACCATAGAGTCAGAGAGACACCACAGAGTCAGAGACGGAGAGAGACCATAGAGTCAGAGACACCACAGAGTCACAAAGACACCACAGAGTCAGAGAGACCACAGAGTCAGAGAGACACCACAGAGTCAGAGAGACCACAGAGTCAGAGAGACACCACAGAGTCAGAGAGACACCACAGAGTCACAAAGACACCACAGAGTCAGAGAGACCACAGAGTCAGAGAGACACCACAGAGTCACAAAGACACCACAGAGTCAGAGAGACCACAGAGTCAGAGAGACACCACAGAGTCACAAAGACACCACAGAGTCACAAAGACACCACAGAGTCAGAGAGACCACAGAGTCAGAGAGACACCACAGAGTCACAAAGACACCACAGAGTCAGAGAGACCACAGAGTCAGAGAGACCACAGAGTCAGAGAGACACCACAGAGTCACAAAGACACCACAGAGTCAGAGAGACCACAGAGTCAGAGAGACACCACAGAGTCACAAAGACACCACAGAGTCAGAGAGACCACAGAGTCACAAAGACACCACAGAGTCACAAAGACACCACAGAGTCAGAGAGACCAGAGTCAGAGAGACCAGAGTCAGAGACACCACAGAGTCAGAGACACCACAGATTCAGAGAGACACCACAGAGTCACAAAGACAGCACAGAGTCAGAGAGACCAGAGAGTCAGAGACACCACAGAGTCAGAGAGACACCACAGAGTCACAAAGACACCACAGAGTCAGAGAGACACCACAGAGTCAGCGACACCACAGAGTCAGCGACACCACAGAGTCAGAGAGACCAGAGTCAGAGAGACAGAGTCAGAGACACCACAGAGTCAGAGACACCACAGAGTCAGACACTACAGAGTCAGAGACACCACAGAGTCAGAGACACCACAGAGTCAGAGACACCACAGAGTCAGAGACACAACAGAGTCAGAGACACCACAGAGTCAGAGACACCACAGAGTCAGAGACACAACAGAGTCAGAGACACCACAGAGTCAGAGACACCACAGAGTCAGCGACACCACAGAGTCAGAGACACCACAGAGTCAGAGACACCACAGAGTCAGAGACACCACAGAGTCAGAGACACCACAGAGTCAGAGAGACACCAGAGACAGAGACAGAGACAGAGAGACAGACAGACAGACAGAGAGAGAGACAGAGAGAGACAGAGACAGAGAGACAGAGAGAAAGACCAGAGGGAGACCAGAAAAAACAGAGAGAGACTAAAGAGACCACAGCTGATATGTTCTGACAAAGATGTGGAAATATGTAACTCGACTGAATGAATGAATGAATGAATGAATGAAACACCTGTCGAAGGAGGTGGACTTCCAGACAAAGTCCACCTGGAAGTTGTGTGTGATGTCCACGGGAGCGTTGGCCCCGTTCCGCAGCTCGATGGCGATTTCGTCTCCGTAGTCTTCAAACAGAGTCAAAGAACAGACCCTAGTGACAGTCTCTGAAGCGATCCATCTACAACCTGATTCTACTGCTGTAAAGTCTATAAACACAGCCTGATTCTACTGCTGTAAAGTCTATAAACACAGCCTGATTCTACTGCTGTAAAGTCTATAAACACAGCCTGATTCTACTGCTGTAAAGTCTATAAACACAGCCTGATTCTACTGCTGTAAAGTCTATAAACACAGCCTGATTCTACTGCTGTAAAGTCTATAAACACAGCCTGATTCTACTGCTGTAAAGTCTATAAACACAGCCTGATTCTACTGCTGTAAACAGTCTATAAACACAGCCTGATTCTACTGCTGTAAAGTCTATAAACACAGCCTGATTCTACTGCTGTAAACAGTCTATAAACACAGCCTGATTCTACTGCTGTAAAGTCTATAAACACAGCCTGATTCTACTGCTGTAAAGTCTATAAACACAGCCTGATTCTACTGCTGTAAACAGTCTATAAACACAGCCTGATTCTACTGCTGTAAACAGTCTATAAACACAGCCTGATTCTACTGCTGTAAACAGTCTATAAACACAGCCTGATTCTACTGCTGTAAAGTCTATAAACACAGCCTGATTCTACTGCTGTAAACAGTCTATAAACACAGCCTGATTCTACTGCTGTAAAGTCTATAAACACAGCCTGATTCTACTGCTGTAAACAGTCTATAAACACAGCCTGATTCTACTGCTGTAAACAGTCTATAAACACAGCCTGATTCTACTGCTGTAAACAGTCTATAAACACAGCCTGATTCTACTGCTGTAAACAGTCTATAAACACAGCCTGATTCTACTGCTGTAAACAGTCTATAAACACAGCCTGATTCTACTGCTGTAAACAGTCTATAAACACAGCCTGATTCTACTGCTGTAAACAGTCTATAAACACAGCCTGATTCTACTGCTGTAAACAGTCTATAAACACAGCCTGATTCTACTGCTGTAAACAGTCTATAAACACAGCCTGATTCTACTGCTGTAAACAGTCTATAAACACAGCCTGATTCTTATCCAACAGGAGAGAAGAAGGAGGAGCCAATCATTCTGTCTGCTATGCATCTTAAACATATCTTTATGTTAGACCAGGGGTGTCCAAACTTTTCAGTAAGAAGGCCACTTAAGTTAACCAGGCCTGTCCAGACGCCTTCAGTCGCGGTGGAAACTCTAGTTAGCCGTAGCCACCGCCTTAGCCATGCAAAGCTAACGCCGCCTAAGAACTGCCCATAAGGAGATTGGCTCCAGCTAGCTTATGTCAAAATCAGCTCCTTCTGCATTAAAGGCCAACACTATGGCGATGTCACACTCTGTCAGTCCTCTCCTGATAGACCCCAGAGGTCAGAGACTATTCCCTGGCCGTAACCGTGGAAACATGTGGAGGATACTGTCAGGGACTTTGATGACGTGGCCGATGCCCTTCCACGGAGGTCCCAGGTCTCCTTTGTATCGGAGGCAGATCTCATCGCCCTGCATCAGCCGCATGTCTGAGGACAGCAGGGTAGGACGTTAGACACAGACAGAGAGAGACAGGGAGACAGACACACGAAGAGACACACGGAGAGACAGGGAGACAGACACAGAGACACAGAGAAAGAGAGACAGGGAGACAGACACACGAAGAGACAGGGAGACAGACACAGACAGAGAGAGAGAGAGACAGACACACAGAGAGAGAGAGACAGGGAGACAGACACACAGAGAGACAGGGAGACAGACAGAGACACAGAGAGAGAGACACACAGTCACAGAGAGAGACAGAGACACAGACAGACACAGAGACACAGTCACAGAGAGAGACAGAGACACAGAGACACAGACAGACACAGAGACACAGTCACAGAGAGACAGAGAGACAGAGACACAGACAGACACAGAGACACAGTCACAGAGAGAAACAGAGACACAGACAGACACAGAGAGAGAGAGACACAGTCACAGAGAGACACAGACAGAGAGACACAGACAGAGAGACACAGACAGAGACACAGTCACAGAGAGAGACAGAGACACAGACAGACACAGAGACACAGTCACAGAGAGAGAGAGACAGAGACACAGACAGAGACAGACCTGAGTCCGTCTTGGGAAGAGTGAAGTATGCGATGCGCTTCTTGTTGAGGCCGAGGTCCCAGCGGATCGTGATGTTGTCCTGAGTCTGAGGACGAGACAAGGAGCAAATAGGAATATTTACATAATCGGGCCGATTATGGCCCCCGGGCCACACTTTGAGACTCTCACCTGTGACTCCTTGAGCTTCTTGTCGTAGTCGGCCTCGTGTTTGACCAACGGCCCAAACACGTTCTGATACTGATACGCGTCTTCGTACCGAAGCTGCACCTGCTGCGGCTGGTCGTCCACACCGGTTTTCTCCAGGTCCTCCAGGGACGCTCCGGGGTTGTCCTGGAAACACATTTAACATTAGAGAACCTCAGTGCACACAGTATGAGCCACTGTTAGCAGCAGCGGCAGAGACACTGATGCCTTTGTCACGTGACCGGCTGTTTAGAATCACGCTCCAGCTTCTGCTTCAGGAAGAGCGACACACATCCAATGATTATATTTACCCAGGACATGTCAGTCTGAGCTAGCTTAGAGGCTTCGACACATTTGAAACAGTTTGGGAATGAAAGCCTCAGTGTGTTACGGGGCTTCAAATGCCATCCATCCATCCATTTCTGGGTCGGGGGGTGGCCAGAGATGCCACCCAGTCCACTGATCCCTCACTGATCCTCTGCAGGTGGTGAGTCCACAGGAGGACGGCTGCTTTATGGCACAGCCTTGATCTTTCTGCAGGGGTTAAGCGTCTTTCCCAAGGACACAACGACAGCAGTCATCGGTGGGAGTTGGTGGAGAAGGTCTCATGGTGGGCTCGAACCCACAACCTTCAGGCTCAAAGGCTTCAAATGCTGATTACTTAAAATTTGAAAAAATAATTTTATTTTTCACAAAAGACGGGTTCAGTGAATGCACAGATGAAACTCTGGGGTTCGGTGCCCAACAAGGCTAAGAACCATTGTGCTGGCATGTGCTGGCATGTGCGTGTACCTTCCAGAGCTCCTCCAGCTTGTTGATCTGCTGCGCCGTGATCTGGCGCGCCCTCAGCTGCTCCGGTTCAGACGGAATCTTCACGAGCCACGACAGGAAGCAGCGATCCTGGATCAGAGGCTGCCACTGGGAGCTGTCCCAGTTTATATCCTTCAGGCTGCTCTGGCTCGCACACGGCTGCCTAAACGACCAGGAAGCACAGAGTCAGCCAGAGAGAGACCAGAGAGAGAGACCAGAGAGAGAGACCAGAGAGAGAGACCAGAGAGAGAGACCAGAGAGAGAGACCAGAGAGAGAGACCAGAGAGAGAGACCAGAGAGAGAGACCAGAGAGAGAGACCAGAGAGAGAGACCAGAGAGAGACCAGAGAGAGAGAGAGACCAGAGAGAGAGACCAGAGAGAGAGACCAGAGAGAGAGACCAGAGAGAGAGACCAGAGAGAGAGACCAGAGAGAGAGACCAGAGAGAGAGACCAGAGAGAGAGACCAGAGAGAAGACCAGAGACCAGAGAGAGACACCAGAGAGAGACCAGAGAGAGAGACCAGAGAGAGAGACCAGAGAGAGAGACCAGAGAGAGAGACCAGAGAGAGAGACCAGAGAGAGAGACCAGAGAGAGACCAGAGAGAGACCAGAGAGAGACCAGAGAGAGACCAGAGAGAGACCAGAGAGAGACCAGAGAGAGACCAGAGAGAGACCAGAGAGAGACCAGAGAGAGAGACCAGAGAGAGACCAGAGAGAGAGACCAGAGAGAGGGACCAGAGAGAGAGACCAGAGAGAGGGACCAGAGAGAGAGACCAGAGAGAGAGACCAGAGAGAGAGACCAGAGAGAGACCAGAGAGAGAGACCAGAGAGAGACCAGAGAGAGGGACCAGAGAGAGACCAGAGAGAGACCAGAGAGAGGGACCAGAGAGAGAGACAGACACCCACCTGCAGAGGAGCACCACCACAGAGTCGGCCTTGGCTGGGATGAATCCGAGCAGGAAGACGTTGCGACAGCCGCAGTTGTAACACTCCAGCACCGTCTCCCCCAGGGGCCCGTCTTTGTGCAGAGTCACCTCTTTACACTTGGCCCTCACCAAGTGGTTCACGATGTGGCTGAGGAACAGGACACACTCATGATCAAAAGGATAAAGAAGCTTTTAACTTCAAAATATGAAATAGTTTTTTTAGTTAAAAAAGGTAAAACAGACTTGTGTTAGAAACGGTTACAAAATATATATATATAAAAAGTAACTGTAAATTACACAAAGATAAAAACTGTAAACTAAGTCAAGGTAAGCTAGAAAACTAGAGTAGTTTCTATGACACTTGCTTTATTTTGACACCTGTCGTCAGTTTGAGTTGCTTTGAGGGAGCAGTTTGGAAAACTCATCAAAACTCGGCTAAAAAAAAAAAAAATCACGGCGGTGGGTCAATAGCAAAAGGGTTAAAAGAGCCACTGCACCCCCCCCTGAAATGTCCAGGCCTCAGACCAGACCCCCCCTCCTCCTGAGGCTCCACAGACCTGCCAGATGTGTTCCCTCGTCCGTTACAGAACCACTTCTTGCTGGTGTTGCAGTAGACCACACAGGCCGGGTCGTGGATGCCACAGTAGCTGAAAGAGAAACATGTCATCCTGGTGTCATTAAAGGCCAATGAATAAAAAGCAGGTTAGCCTTGTCCATCTGTCTACAGTCTGTGTTAGCATTAGCATCTGTCTACAGTCTGTGTTAGCATCTGTATACTGTCTGTGTTAGCATTATCCATCTGTCTACAGTCTGTGTTAGCATCTGTATACAGTCTGTGTTAGCATTAGCATCTGTATACAGTCTGTGTTAGCATTAGCATCTGTATACAGTCTGTGTTAGCATTAGCATCTGTATACAGCCTGTTAGCATTAGCATCTGTATACAGTCTGTGTTAGCATTAGCATCTGCATACAGTCTGTGTTAGCATTAGCATCTGCATACAGTCTGTGTTAGCATCAGTACCTGCAGGCGTGCAGGGGCAGGTCTTTGGTGTAGAACGCGTCCTCTTCGTCCTCTTCGAAGTTGAGCTCCTGCAGCAGCTGAGTGGTCTTGGCCACGGGATCGTCCACGCCGCCATTGAGCAGACCGTCGTCCGGCCCGTTCAGCTGCGCCACAGGAAGGAAGGTTACACAGGGAGGCTCCACGTTTGGGGAAAGCACAATTTAAAGCTGTGGTACCCAACTTTCAACCCCAAAAAAGTAACCATGTCTCTCTCACCCTCGACTCTCTCTCGCCTTTCTCTCACCCTCTCTCACTCTCTCTCACTCTCACCTCTCTCACTCTCGCGTCTCTCTCACCCTCGCCTCCCTCTCTCTCACTCTCGCGTCTCTCTCACTCTCACCTCTCTCACTCTCTCTCACTCTCGCGTCTCTCTCACTCTCACCTCTCTCACTCTCGCCTTTCTCTCACCCTCGCCTCCCTCTCTCACTCTCGCATCTCTCTCACTCTGGCGTCTCTCTCACTCTGGCGTCTCTCTCACTCTCGCCTCTCTCTCACTCTCGCCTCTCTCTCACTCTTGCGTCTCTCTCACTCTCGCGTCTCTCTCACTCTCGCGTCTCTCTCACTCTCGCCTCTCTCTCTCTCTCGCCTCTCTCACTCTCACCTCTCTTGCGTCTCTCTCACTCTTGCGTCTCTCTCACTCTTGCGTCTCTCTCACTCTCGTCTCACTCTGGCGTCTCTCTCACTCTGGCGTCTCTCTCACTCTGGCGTCTCTCTCACTCTGGCGTCTCTCTCACTCTGGCGTCTCTCTCACTCTGGCGTCTCTCTCACTCTGGCGTCTCTCTCACTCTGGCGTCTCTCTCACTCTCGCCTCTCTCACTCTCGCCTCTCTCACTCTGGCGTCTCTCTCACTCTGGCGTCTCTCTCACTCTGGCGTCTCTCTCACTCTGGCGTCTCTCTCACTCTGGCGTCTCTCTCTCTCTCGTCTCACTCTGGCGTCTCTCTCACTCTGGCGTCTCTCTCACTCTGGCGTCTCTCTCACTCTGGCGTCTCTCTCACTCTGGCGTCTCTCTCACTCTGGCGTCTCTCTCACTCTGGCGTCTCTCTCACTCTCGCCTCTCTCACTCTCGCCTCTCTCACTCTCGCCTCTCTCACTCTGGCGTCTCTCTGGCGTCTCTCTCACTCTGGCGTCTCTCTCACTCTGGCGTCTCTCTCACTCTGGCGTCTCTCTCACTCTGGCGTCTCTCTCACTCTGGCGTCTCTCTCACTCTGGCGTCTCTCTCACTCTGGCGTCTCACTCTCGCCTCTCTCACTCTCGCCTCTCTCACTCTTGCGTCTCGTCTCACTCTCGCCTCACTCTCTCGTCTCACTCTGGCGTCTCTCTCACTCTCTCGTCTCACTCTGGCGTCTCTCTCACTCTCTCGTCTCTCTCACTCTGGCGTCTCTCTCACTCTGGCGTCTCTCTCACTCTGGCGTCTCTCTCACTCTGGCGTCTCTCTCACTCTGGCGTCTCTCTCACTCTGGCGTCTCTCTCACTCTCGCCTCTCTCACTCTTGCGTCTCTCTCACTCTGGCGTCTCTCTCACTCTGGCGTCTCTCACTCTCTGGCGTCTCTCTCAGGCGAGGCGTCTCTCTCACTCTCACTCTGGCGTCTCTCTCACTCTGGCGTCTCTCTCACTCTGGCGAGAGGCGTCTCTCTCACTCTCTGGCGTCTCTCTCACACTCTGGCGTCTCTCTCACTCTGGCGTCTCTCTCAGGCGTCTCTCTCACTCTGGCGTCTCTCTCACTCTGGCGTCTCTGAGAGAGAGGCGAGAGTCTGGCGGCGAGAGTCAGAGAGAGGCTCTGAGAGTGAGAGAGAGGCGAGAGTGAGAGAGAGGCGAGAGTGAGAGAGAGGCGAGAGTGAGAGAGAGGCGAGAGTGAGAGAGACGCCAGAGTGAGAGAGAGGCGAGAGTGAGAGAGAGGCGAGAGTGAGAGAGAGGCGAGAGTGAGAGAGAGGCGAGAGTGAGAGAGAGGCGAGAGTGAGAGAGAGGCGAGAGTGAGAGAGAGGCGAGAGTGAGAGAGAGGCGAGAGTGAGAGAGAGGCGAGAGTGAGAGAGAGGCGAGAGTGAGAGAGAGGCGAGAGTGAGAGAGAGGCGAGAGTGAGAGAGAGGCGAGAGTGAGAGAGAGGCGAGAGTGAGAGAGAGGCGAGAGTGAGAGAGAGGCGAGAGTGAGAGAGAGGCGAGAGTGAGAGAGAGGCGAGAGTGAGAGAGAGGCGAGAGTGAGAGAGAGGCGAGAGTGAGAGAGAGGCGAGAGTGAGAGAGAGGCGAGAGAGAGAGAGAGAGAGAGAAGAGAGAGATCTCTCTCACTCTCGCCTCTCTCTCACTCTCGCCTCTTGTCACATCTTTAGATCTGCTTTTCCTGACAGAAGTGAAAAAGAGGACCACCCTAACTCAGCCAATCAGCGCTCAGCCCAAAGAGTCAAAAAATGACCCACAGAGAAGATAAGGTGAAGACCGCATGTTTTGGTCTGATTTGTTCACAAAAATCACTTAGTTGGGACAACATTGTTTTATTCTATGAAACACAAAAGTTAAATACCCCAGCTTTAAACGGCATAGGCAGTTTTTAGTTTGGTTTGTTTTTTCTAATTTCAGGTGGACTGACACGTGCTAAAAATAACAAATTGCAGTTTGTTAGTAAAATATTAGGAGGGAAACTACAGGAAGTAAAGCAGCCTTCTAGACCTGATGACAGGTCTATACTTGTAAAGTAACACACTAAATACACAAGATAGAGAAAACAAGCTCTAAATGACCAATGACATCAATGAAAACAACGGAACATACATGTACGTGGTTAAGGTTTAAAATCATGCCCTTCGAACTTCAAATGTCATTATTGTATAGTTTAGAATGTTGTAAAATTGAATATTTACACAACAATAATGTTCTCGGCGTGTGTCCTACGGTGTGCACACATGAGCCACAATAAATACATGATAATACTAACAATGCAACATGTCTTTTGCATCATTTGGCTTCAGTGAGACGTTGCTGAGTCTGACAGATGGAAACACATCTGAGTCAACCCAGAGCTGAACACCACGCAGTTAACAACACCACATAAACACACACTATTCTCCTGTCTCTGTGTGTGTAGTGTGTGTGTGTGTGTGTGTGTGTGTCTGTGACCCAGGACAACCCCGCTGTAAACACACTTTTATCAGTAGTGGACATGCTAACTAGCGCAGGGCTAGCAGTTAGCCGTTAGCAGTTAGCTAAACGGACCAATACAGATAATAGCGGGTTTAGCAGGAAGTGCTCTCGGCTAGTGCTAATGCTAATGCTAATGCTAACGGCCGCTTCTCACGGGGCTGATCCACACCTGAGCGTCCTGGCTGTGAGCGAGCCCCTGGGTCTGGGTCTGGCTGGGCAGGGTGAAGTCTGTGAAGTCGAACTCAGAGCCCTGGGTGTCGGCTCCCAGCAGCTCGGCTTCTTCGGGGTCCAGGAAGGTGAGGGTCTGGGAGCTGGGCCCGTACGCCTCCACACTCATGGCTCCTCTCCGCGGGGGTAACGCGCTGTCAGTCTGGGTGGTCCGCGGTCAGGTCCTCTGCTCCGGGGGTCTCTCGGGGCCTCAGGCTGAGTTTGAGGAGTTTGTTTTGAACGTAAACACTGTGATAAACAAATGCATCAGAGCTCACACAGAAACAGAAGCCACAGGAACACGGCCACGCTGCGTGTGACGTCAGCGTAACCAGTCACGCTGCGTGTGACGTCAGCGTGACCAGTCACACTTCCGGGGTCTGCCTCTCCGTTTTTTAAAACATTTTTAACAAGACTTTTAACAACAGAACTTCCAGAACAGTCAATCTGACGGCTTTTCGTTTTGGAAGCTTAATTACTTAGCTCAAGGACACGTGTGGTCTTGTTTGAATGAAATGATCTTTTATTGGAGAAATGTGAGTTCTTGTTAACTCCAGGCGCCGTCGTTTTGACTGTAATTCATTTGACCGTGTTCGAATGCAGCCATTTTCAGTCGCTTACCAACCAACGAGACTTTTCTACTTGTGTTTCCATTACACTTTACTATCTGGTACCGTATCCTAGCAACCGACCCACAACAAACCGATATCCAGGGAAATTCCTTGGTAACCGTGGCTTCCAGCAGCACTCTGGCCAATCACTGTCAGTTAGAACACTTTCTGTTCTATCCGCTCGGCCTGGTTAGAACCAGGACCAGGATGGACTAAAGAAGGACCTGGTACTGGTTACACAGGACCAGAGGAAACGGTCCCAATCAGGGGAGACTAGACTATAGAGTGGACTAGACTAGAGTAGACTAGACTAGACTATAGAGTGGACTAGACTAGACTATAGAGTGGACTAGACTAGAGTAGACTAGACTATAGAGTGGACTAGACTAGACTATAGAGTCGACTAGACTAGACTATAGAGTGGACTAGACTAGAGTAGACTAGACTATAGAGTGGACTAGACTAGACTATAGAGTCGACTAGACTAGAGTAGACTAGACTATAGAGTGGACTAGACTAGACTATAGAGTGGACTAGACTAGAGTAGACTAGACTATAGAGTGGACTAGACTAGACTAGAGTGGACTAGACTAGACTATAGAGTGGACTAGACTAGAGTAGACTAGACTATAGAGTGGACTAGACTAGACTAGAGTGGACTAGACTAGACTATAGAGTGGACTAGACTAGAGTAGACTAGACTATAGAGTGGACTAGACTAGAGTAGACTAGACTATAGAGTGGACTAGACTATAGAGTGGACTAGACTATAGAGTGGACTAGACTAGACTATAGAGTGGACTAGACTAGACTAGACTAGACTATAGAGTGGACTAGACTATAGAGTGGACTAGACTAGACTATAGAGTGGACTAGACTAGACTATAGAGTGGACTAGACTAAACTATAGACTAGACTAGACTAGACTATAGAGTGGACTAGACTAGATTAGACCAGACTAGACTAGACTATAGAGTGGACTAGACTAGATTAGACCAGACTAGACTATAGAGTGGACTAGACTAGATTAGACCAGACTAGACTAGACTAGACTAGACCAGACTAGACCAGACTAGTGTGTCCTGTGGTCGAAACATGGCGTTGTGTGAAAAACCTCAGTCGTACACAGTATAGTCCTGTTTATTATAAATCCATGTTACAGTTCTGCCTGAGGTTCTGCCTGAGGTTCTGCCTGAGGTTCTGCATGAGGTTCTTCCTGAGGTTCTGCATGAGGTTCTTCCTGAGGTTCTGCATGTGGTTCTTCCTGAGGTTCTGCCTGAGGTTTTGCATGAGGTTCTGCCTGAGGTTTTGCATGAGGTTCTGCATGAGGTTCTGCCTGAGGTTCTGCCTGAGGTTCTGCCTGAGGTTCTGCATGAGGTTCTGCCTGAGGTTCTGCATGAGGTTCTGCCTGAGGTTCTGCATGAGGTTCTGCATGAGGGACAGGACGCTCTGGCAGATCCCTCCACACGGGTCTGAAGCCGGTGTTTTAAGCCTTTCATTTACAACATAATAAAAACAGCAGCAGAAGAATCATTTGAAGCCCGGTTCTGGAGATAAAACAGTCCATGGGGATGTGCTCAGTCAGATCTGTGGAAAGGTTCTGGTTCTGGAGATAAAACAGTCCATGGGGATGTGCTCAGTCAGACCTGTGGAAAGGTCCTGGTTCTGGTGATTAAACAGTCCGCGGGCTCTGTAAAGTCATAAAGTTATTAAAAGGAAATATCTATGATTTGAAAGGGGGAAAATGCCATATTGCGAACCTCTCACGTTGCCATGGAGACCAGACGTGCTTTTTTGGGCGATGCTTGTTTCATCAAACTTTTTGATAAAAAAACAGAATAAAATTGTGTTTTTCTCAGTTTAAAAATGAAAAAGGACACGATTTGAAAATTCAGTGCATTTTACTGGAAGCTGCAGGTCTCTCTCTGGTCTCTCTCTCTGGTCTCTCTCTCTGGTCTCTCTCCCTCTCTCTATGCTCCCTCTCTGCTGTCTCTCTCTCTCTCTCTCTGGTCTCTCTCTCTGGTCTCTCTCCCTCTCTCTCTGGTCTCTCTCTCTGGTCTCTCTTTGCTCTCTCTCTGGTCTCTCTCTCTCTCTGCTCTCTCTCTGGTCTCTCTCTCTCTCTGCTCTCTCTCTGGTCTCTCTCCCTCTCTCTATGCTCCCTCTCTGCTCTCTCTCTCTCTCTCTCTGGTTTCTCTCCCTCTCTCTCTGTTTCCTCTCTGCTCTCTCTCTCTGGTCTCTCTCCCTCTCTCTAGTCTCTCTCCCTCTCTCTCTGGTCTCTCTCTCTGGTCTCTCTTTACTCTCTCTCTGGTCTCTCTCTCTCTGGTCTCTCTCCCTCTCTCTATGCTCCCTCTCTGCTCTCTCTCTCTCTCTGGTCTCTCTCTGGGCTCTCTCCCTCTCTCTCTGCTCTCTCTCTGGTCTCTCTCCCTCTCTCTCTGCTACCTCTCTGCTCTCTCTCTCTCTCTGGTTTCTCTCCCTCTCTCTCTGCTTCCTCTCTGCTCTCTCTCTCTGGTCTCTCTCCCTCTCTCTAGTCTCTCTCCCTCTCTCTCTGGTCTCTCTCTCTGGTCTCTCTTTACTCTCTCTCTGGTCTCTCTCCCTCTCTCTCTGCTCCCTCTCTGCTCTCTCTCTCTCTCTCTGGTCTCTCTCTCACTCTCTGGTTTCTCTCCCTCTCTCTCCGCTTCCTCTCTGGTCTCTCTCCCTCTCTCTCTAATCCCTCTCTGCTCTCTCTCTCTCTCTCTCTGGTCTCTCTCTCTCTAGTCTCTCTCCCTCTCTCTCTGCTCCCTCTCTGCTCTCTCTCTCTCTGGTCTCTCTCTCTCTCTGGTTTCTCTCCCTCTCTCTCTGCTCCCTCTCTGCTCTCTCTCTCTCTCTGGTCTCTCTCTCTGGTCTCTATCTCCGGTCTCTCTCTGGTCTCTCTCTCTGGTCTCTATCTGCTCTCTCTCTCTCTCTGGTCTCTCTCCCTCTCTCTCTGCTCCCTCTCTGCTCTCTTTCTCTGGTTTCTCTCCCTTTCTCTCTGCTCCCTCTCTCTCCCTCCCTCTCTGCTCTCTCTCTCTCTCTCCCTCTCTCTCTCTCTCTCTCTGGTCGCTCTCCCTCTCTCTCTCTGGTCTCTCTCTCTCTCTGGTCTCTCTCTCTCTCTCTGGTCTCTCTCCCTCTCTCCCTCCCTCTCTGCTCTCTCTCTCTCTCTCTCTCTCTCTCTGGTCGCTCTCCCTCTCCCTCTCTCTCTCTCTCTGGTCTCTCTCTCTCTCTGGTCTCTCTCTCTCTCTCTCTCTGGTCTCTCTCCCTCTCTGGTCTCTCTCCCTCTCTCCCTCCCTCTCTGCTCTCTCCCTCTCTCTCTCTCTCTCTCTGGTCGCTCTCCCTCTCCCTCTCTCTCTCTCTCTGGTCTCTCTCTCTCTCTCTGGTCTCTCTCTCTCTCTCTCTCTGGTCTCTCTCCCTCTCTGGTCTCTCTCCCTCTCTCTCTCCCTCTCTGCTCTCTCTCTCTCTCTGGTCTCTCTCCCTCCCTCTCTGCTCTCTCTCTCTCTCTGGTCTCTCTCTCTCTGCTCCCTCTCCGCTCTCTCTGTACGGCCCGTCTTTATGTAATGTCTTAATAATGAACTGAAGAGAGCGTCGTCCATGTTGAACTTTGAAACTGAGAAACACAAAGTGAGAAACCCTCTCACGGTACCATCTTAAGTCCAGTGACACACAGACTTTCACCACAGAGCTTAAATCAGGGCACTCTGTACAATATATATTCATACAGCAGGAAATACTAAAGTCTATGATATCAACATTCACATTGGGGGCGGAGTCAAAACTTCAAACAATAAAACATGCTACATTAGCGTAAGGTCAAAGCTACATTTAGAAGATACACTAGCCCTGTTTCCACCAGCCCTACTCTACTCTGATCCTGGTCTCTCTCTCTCTCTCGTCTCTCTCTTATCTCTGTCCTTTCTATATGGTCTCTCTCTCTGGTCTGTTTCTGCTCTCCTCTCTCTTGTCTATAGTCTCTCTCACCTCTCTCTGGTCTATCCCTGGTCTCTCTCTCTTGTCTCTGGTCTCTCTCTCTTGTCTCTGGGGTGTCTCTCTTGTCTCCGTTCTCTCTCTGTCTCTGAGGTGTCTCTCTTGTCTCTGGTCTCTCTATCTTGTCTCTGGTCTCTCTCTCTTGTCTCTGGTCTCTCTCTCTTGTCTCTGGTCTCTCTCTCTCTAGTCTCTGGTCTCTCTCTCTTGTCTCTGGTCTCTCTCTCTTGTCTCTGGTCTCTCTATCTTGTCTCTGGTCTCTCACTCCTGTCTCTGGTCTCTCTCTTGTCTCTGGTCTCTCTCTTGTCTCTGGTCTCTCACTCTTGTCTCTGGTCTCTCACTCTTTTCTCTGGTCTCTCACTCTTTGTCTCTGGTCTCTCACTCTTGTCTCTGGTCTCTCTCTCTTGTCTCTGGTCTCTCACTCTTGTCTCTTGTCTCTGGTCTCTATCTTGTCTCTGGTCTCTCTCTCTTGTCTCTGGTCTCTCTCTCTTGTCTCTGGTCTCTCACTCTTGTCTCTGGTCTCTCACTCTTGTCTCTGGTCTCTCTCTCTTGTCTCTGGTCTCTCACTCTTGTCTCTGGTCTCTCTCTCTTGTCTCTGGTCTCTCTCTCTTGTCTCTGGTCTCTCTCTCTTGTCTTTGGTCTCTCTCTCTTGTCTCTGGTCTCTCTCTCTTGTCTCTGGTCTCTCTCTCTTGTCTCTGGTCTCTCTCTCTTGTCTCTGGTCTCTCTCTTGTCTCTGGTCTCTCTCTTGTCTCTGGTCTCTCACTCTTGTCTCTGGTCTCTCACTCTTGTCTCTGGTCTCTCACTCTTGTCTCTGGTCTCTCACTCTTGTCTCTGGTCTCTCTCTCTTGTCTCTGGTCTCTCACTCTTGTCTCTGGTCTCTATCTTGTCTCTGGTCTCTATCTTGTCTCTGGTCTCTCTCTCTTGTCTCTGGTCTCTCACTCTTGTCTCTGGTCTCTCACTCTTGTCTCTGGTCTCTCTCTCTCTTGTCTCTGGTCTCTCACTCTTGTCTCTTGTCTCTGGTCTCTCACTCTTGTCTCTGGTCTCTATCTTGTCTCTGGTCTCTCTCTCTTGTCTCTGGTCTCTCACTCTTGTCTCTGGTCTCTCTATCTTGTCTCTGGTCTCTCTCTCTCTTGTCTCTGGTCTCTCTCTCTTGTCTCTGGTCTCTCTCTCTCTTGTCTCTGGTCTCTCTCTCTTGTCTCTGGTCTCTCTATCTTGTCTCTGGTCTCTCTCTCTAGTCTCTGGTCTCTCTCTCTCTTGTCTCTGGTCTCTCTCTCTTGTCTCTGGTCTCTCACTCTTGTCTCTGGTCTCTCTCTCTTGTCTCTGGTCTCTCACTCTTGTCTCTGGTCTCTCTCTCTTGTCTCTGGTCTCTCTCTCTCTTGTCTCTGGTCTCTGGTCTCTCCCTCTTGTCTCTGGTCTCTCTCTCTTGTCTCTGGTCTCTCTCTCTCTTGTCTCTGGTCTCTCTCTCTTGTCTCTGGTCTCTCTCTCTTGTCTCTGGTCTCTCCCTCTTGTCTCTGGTCTCTCTCTCTCTTGTCTCTGGTCTCTCTCTCTTGTCTCTGGTCTCTCTCTCTTGTCTCTGGTCTCTCTCTCTCTTGTCTCTGGTCTCTCTCTCTTGTCTCTGGTCTCTCTCTCTTGTCTCTGGTCTCTCCCTCTTGTCTCTGGTCTCTCTCTCTCTTGTCTCTGGTCTCTCTCTCTTGTCTCTGGTCTCTCTCTCTCTTGTCTCTGGTCTCTCTCTCTTGTCTCTGGTCTCTCTCTCTTGTCTCTGGTCTCTCCCTCTTGTCTCTGGTCTCTCTCTCTCTTGTCTCTGGTCTCTCTCTCTCTTGTCTCTGGTCTCTCTCTCTTGTCTCTGGTCTCTCTCTCTTGTCTCTGGTCTCTCTCTCTCTTGTCTCTGGTCTCTCTCTCTTGTCTCTGGTCTCTCTCTCTTGTCTCTGGTCTCTCCCTCTTGTCTCTGGTCTCTCTCTCTCTTGTCTCTGGTCTCTCTCTCTTGTCTCTGGTCTCTCAAGGAGTTTCCCCAGATACATGTTTGTTGTGTGCCTGATACTAAAGCGTAATGGAAACACAACCAGGTTGAGCCGAGCCGAGTAGCGTGGGGCTGGTGGAATCAGGGCTAAAGTGCAGAGCTGAGTCCCCAGAGCCTCAACAGAGACTGCGAACAACAGAAGGTTTTCAAAATGTCAACAAATTCTATTAAAATAAAATGAAAAACAATCAAAAAGTGCGACAGAAGTTGGATCTATGTCCACGGCTTCACGGAACGCTCTCGATAAAAAAGAAAGTCAACAATTGGCTGCTCAGTCTGAAAGAAAAGGTCTGGTCTCGCTCTGGTCTCGCTCTGGTCTCTCTCTGGTCTCTCTCTCTGGTCTCTCTCTCTCTGGTCTCTCTCTCTCTGGTCTCTCTATCTGGTCTCTCTCTCTCTGGTCTCTCTCTCTCTGGTCTCTCTCTCTCTGGTCTCTCTCTGGTCTCTTTCTGGTCTCTCTGGTCTCTTTCCGTAAACATAAAAACATTGCACTTCCCGGGTCACATCTCAGTGGATTTGGGACATGAGCTGGTTCCTGTCGTCGTGACAACAACCGTGTATTCAACAAATGAGTCCAAAAGCTGTTAACAGATAGATGTCTCCTCCAGCAGTGGTTAGAGGAGGTTCTGGTCTCGGTCCACCTGGTCCTGGTCCTCCAGCAGTGGTTAGAGGAGGTTCTGGTCTCGGTCCACCTGGTCCTGGTCCTCCAGCAGTGGTTAGAGGAGGTTCTGGTCTCGGTCCACCTGGTCCTGGTCCTCCAGCAGTGGTCAGAGGAGGTTCTGGTCTCGGTCCATCTGGTCCTGGTCCTCCAGCAGCTCCAGGAGACTGAGGACTATGGTCTGCAGAGCTAACCCCAGCTCTTCGCCGTCGTACGGTTTCCCCAACGGCGGCACGTGGACGAAGGCCGAGCGCCCGCGGCTCACGTACAGAGACGTGTAGTACGTAAAGTCACACAGGTACCTGAAACAGAGGTCACAGGTACCTGAAACAGAGGTCACAGGTACCTGAAACAGAGGTCACAGGTACCTGAAACAGAAGTCACAGGTACCTGAAACAGAGGTCACAGGTACCTAAAACAGAGGTCACAGGTACCTGACACAGAGGTCACAGGTACCTGACACAGAGGTCACAGGTACCTAAAACAGAGGTCACAGGTACCTGAAACAGAGGTCACAGGTACCTGAAACAGAGGTCACAGGTACCAGAAACAGAGGTCACAGGTACCAGAAACAGAGGTCACAGGTACCTGTGACCTCTTTCCCCCCTCTCTCTGGTCTCTCTCCTCTCCCTCCCCTCTCTCTGGTCTCTCTCCTCTCCCTCCCCTCTCTCTGGTCTCTCCCCCCTCTTTCTGGTCTCTCTCCTCTCCCTCCCCTCTCTCTGGTCTCTCTCCTCTCCCTCCCCTCTCTCTGGTCTCTCCCCCCTCTTTCTGGTCTCTCTCCCCTCTCTCTGGTCTCTCTCCCCTCTCTCTGGTCTCTCCCCCCTCTCTCTGGTCTCTCTCCCCTCTCTCTGGTCTCTCCCCCCTCTCTCTGGTCTCTCCCCCCTCTCTCTGGTCTCTCTCTGGTCTCTCTCCCCTCTCTTTCCCCCCTCTCTCTGGTTTCTCTCCCTCCTCTCTCTGGTCTCTCTCTCGTCTCTCTCACCGTCCTGCGTCCTTGGACAGAGACACGGTGACTCCGATCCCGGTGCTGCTGACTCGTTTACAGACTGAGTCCAGGTCCAGTCCTGAGTCGATGTAGTCTGGTCCTCCGGCCACGCAGCAGTGAGCCTCAGGACACAGGCCGCTGTTGTCCCGGACCCGGTAACCATGGTTACGGCCGCACTTCTCCAGCGTCACCGTGGTCGCCGTCTCCGACACGCCCACATGGATGACCAGCTGCAACACAACTCAGCATCACACGCTATATTTGTCTCTCTCTGGTCTCTTTCTTTGGTCTCTCTCTGGTCTCTCTCTGGTCTCTCCCTCTGGACTCTCTGGTCTCTCTCTGGTCTCTCCCTCTGGACTCTCTGGTCTCTCTCTTTGGTCTCGCTCTGGTCTCTCTCTGGTCTCTCTCTGGTCTCTCTCTGGTCTCTCCCTGGTCTCTCTCTGCTCCACAGATCAGGAGGTTATGCTATTGTAACACCATACTTAGGCTATATCCACACGAAGACAAAACGCTTATAATTTCAGAAACTTTTTCTGTAAACACGGAGTTAGCTCAGTAAATGTGTGCGTCCATATGAATGTAGTCAATACGCCTGAAAACGCTGTGAAACTATGCCAGACCTGTTGGTGGCGCTGTGACGCAATGACGGGATCAAGCCCAAACTTCCGTGACGGGAACTGGGCATGCGCAGAATTTTGTAAACAGACAACATGGCGAGTGGGCGAGCTGGTACTACATTAGTATGGACGGACGATGAGGTTGAACTGTTGCTTCGGGTCACACTGGATTACAAAACCAACAAGCTACATTGTTGTTGTCATTATTTTCTGAGTGCGGCGCATGCGTGCTTTAACAAGAGGCGGGGCGATGACGCAAGCGTCTCAGATACATTGCGGAGAGGCAGTAACCACGGAGCGGCATATACGGAGTTTTGAAATCTTTCCACTCTGGGACCTAGTTTCAAAAATGTTCGTTTACACCCCCCCAAAACGCCGGCCTCGTATGGACGATACACTGGATTGATAAAGTATTTTTGCGTTTAGGCCTGAGCTTGACTTCGTGTGGACAGGGCCTTACAGTACTTAAAGTTTCCCTTAAAACATAACTGAACATAAAGCTAACAGACGGGGCTGCTACATTTTTTGTTGTTGCCGTAGTTACCAGAGGATGGTACTGTTTCCACAGAGCTGGTACCAGCGTCCTCACGGTGTGGTACTCCACTGGTACCTCGTACACCTGCAGGTCCACATCACTGCCCAGACCCAGCTTCTTCAGCTCCTGGAACCATAACCACAGGAGTCTTTAATATTTTAATACTTTAATATTATATCAATCATACTTACTGGTCTCTATCTGGTCTTTCTCTGGTCTCTCTCTGGTCTCTCTCTGGTCTCTCTCTGGTCTCTCTCTCTCTGGTCTCTCTCTCTCTGGTCTCTCTCTATCTGGTCTCTCTCTGGTCTCTCTCTCTCTGGTCTCTCTCTGGTCTCCCTCTGGTCTCTCTCTGGTGTCTCTCTGGTGTCTCTCTGGTCTCTCTCTGGTCTCTATCTGGTCTCTCTCTGGTCTCTCTCTGGTCTCTCTAGTCTCTCTCTGGTCTCTCTCTGGTCTCTCTCTGGTCTCTCTCTGGCCTCTCTCTGGTCTCTCTCTGGTCCCTCCCCCCTCCCCCTCTGACCTGCTGCTTCCTCTGTGACCTCTGACCTCTTCACCCCTTTGTTTGGCTTTAATATCCTCATCAGGACCGTCTAGACACCGAGACCCCTGACCCCACACCCCCAGACCAGAAAGAGACCAGAGGACCAGGGGACCAGGGGACGACAGTCTCTCTCTGGTCTCTCTCTGGTCCCTCTCTCTGGTCTCTCTCTCTGGTCTCTCTCTCTGGTCTCTCTCTCTGGTCTCTCTGGTCTCTCTCTGGTCTCTCTCTGGCCTCTCTCTGGCCTCTCTCTGGTCTCTCTCTGGTCTCTCTCTGGTCTCTCTCTGGTCTCTCTCTGGCCTCTCTCTGGTCTCTCTCTCTGGCCTCTCTCTCTGGTCTCGCTCTGGTCCCTCTCTCTGGTCTCTCTCTGGTCTCTCTCTCTGGTCTCTCTCTGGTCTCTCTCTCTGGTCTCTCTCTGGTCTCTCTCTCTGGTCTCTCTCTGGTCTCTCTCTCTGGTCTCTCTGGTCTCTCTCTCTGGTCTCTCTCTCTGGTCTCTCTGGTCTCTCTCTCTGGTCTCTCTCTGGTGGTCTCTCTCTGGTCTCTCTCTCTGGTCTCTCTGGTCTCTCTCTGGTCTCTCTCTCTGGTCTCTCTCTCTGGTCTCTCTCTGGTCTCTCTCTGGTCTCTCTCTCTGGTCTCTCTCTCTGGTCTCTCTCTGGTCTCTCTCTCTGGTCTCTCTGGTCTCTCTCTGGTCTCTCTCTCTGGTCTCTCTGGTCTCTCTCTCTGGTCTCTCTCTGGTCTCTCTCTCTGGTCTCTCTCTGGTCTCTCTCTCTGGTCTCTCTGGTCTCTCTCTGGTCTCTCTCTCTGGTCTCTCTCTGGTCTCTCTCTGGTCTCTCTCTCTGGTCTCTCTCTCTGGTCTCTCTCTGGTCTCTCTCTGGTTTCTCTCTCATGTGTGTGAAGACCGACCTGCACCGCGACCCAGCTGGGGTTCACCGTGTGCTCCCCGAACGGCCCGAACCCTGGAACACATCAGCACAGATCAGCACGAGACCAGGAGGACACAGACCAGTGACATCACCACAGTGTGACATCATCACAGTGTGACGTCACCACAGTGTGACATTGACATCACCACAGTGTGACATCACCACAGTGTGACATCACCACAGTGTGACGTCATCACAGTGTGACATCACCACAGTGTGACATCATCACAGTGTGACGTCACCACAGTGTGACATTGACATCACCACAGTGTGACATCACCACAGTGTGACGTCATCACAGTGTGACATCACCACAGTGTGACATCACCACAGTGTGACATCACCACAGTGTGACGTCACCACAGTGTGACATCACCACAGTGTGACATCACCACAGTGTGACGTCATCACAGTGTGACATCACCACAGTGTGACATCACCACAGTGTGACATCACCACAGTGTGACATCACCACAGTGTGACGTCACCACAGTGTGACATCACCACAGTGTGACATCACCACAGTGTGACATCACCACAGTGTGACATCACCACAGTGTGACATCACCACAGTGTGACGTCACCACAGTGTGACATCACCACTGTGTGACATCACCACAGTGTTACGTCACCACTGTGTGACATCACCACAGTGTGACATCACCACAGTGTGACATCACCACTGTGTGACATCACCACAGTGTTACATCACCACTGTGTGACATCACCACAGTGTTACGTCACCACTGTGTGACGTCACCACAGTGTGACGTCACCACAGTGTGACATCACCACTGTGTGACATCACCACAGTGTTACGTCACCACTGTGTGACATCACCACAGTGTGACATCACCACAGTGTGACATCACCACAGTGTGACATCACAGTGTTAGCTTTACTCAACTTTAAGCTGATGCCAGTTTCCTTATATGGGCATTTGTTCTGACGGAGTTAGCTTATCTTAGCAGTTAGCTTTGTGCTGTATCGGGGGCAGATGTGTTGCTAAGAATCAGAATTATTTTTTTGTGAGTAACAGGGGATCACAGACGAGGAAACTACGTTGACTCTCGGTCAAACAAGTCAAAAGTAGAGAAAAGAGTAAAGCCTAATAACAACAGCAGGATCAAAGGCTAGAAGTGCCACTATGCTAACCTGCCAACCGGCTAACTTGCTAACCTGCTAACTTGCTAACCTGCTAACCTGCTAACCTGCTAACGTGCTAACCTGCTAACGTGCTAACCTGCTAACCTGCTAACGTGCTAACCTGCTAACGTGCTTGCTCAGTGAAGTGATATAAACACAGGACACAGAGAAACCACAGATTTAAGCCCAAAACGGTGATGTCACACAAATATTTCCTGAGGAGTTTACTTTAACATGGAAGTCGATAGGAGCCAGAGAGAGGAGCCAAACTTCACCCATGAGCACTTCCCTATTAGCTTTGTTGAGCTAGCAGGTTAGCATGGTCCAGTATTACAGTGGTCGCGGTTCATATACTCCCCCCAAGAAGCAGGTCCTGTCCTCTGGTTAAACCCAGACTGGTGTTTACACTGGAACCTGACCCCCCTCCTCTCGGAGCAGGTCAGGGGCCCCTGGAGGGTCTCTGGGGGCCGTCTGTCTGACAGGCCCCTCAAAAGGAGCCCAGAGCCGGGGTCAGCAGCTGTGTACCAGGGCCTTTGTGGAGGCGGCGTTCCCAGGATCTCAGCCCTCCTCGTCGGCCTCATCAGCTGAGAGCAAGACCTGCCATTGTGCTCACCCTGACAGCGTCACTCTGGTCTCTCTCTGGTCTCTCTCTGGTCTCTCTCTGGTCTCTCTCTAGTCTCTCTGGTCTCTCTCTGGTCTCTCTGGTCTCTCTCTGGTCTCTCTCTCTGGTCTCTCTCTGGTCTCTCTCTGGTCTCTCTCTGGTCTCTCTCTGGTCTCTCTCTCTGGTCTCTCTCTGGTCTCTCTCTGGTCTCTCTCTCTGGTCTCTCTCTGGTCTCTCTCTGGTCTCTCTCTGGTCTCACTCTGGTCTCTCTCTGGTCTCTCTCTGGTCTCTCTCTCTGGTCTCTCTCTGGTCTCTCTCTGGTCTCTCTCTGGTCTCACTCTGGTCTCTCTCTGGTCTCTCTCTGGTCTCTCGCTCTGGTCTCTCTCTCTGGTCTCTCTCGGTCTCTCTCTGGTCTCTCTCTGGTCTCTCTCTGGTCTCTCTCTGGTCTCTCTCTGGTCTCTCTCTGGTCTCTCTCTGGTCTCTCTCTGGTCTCACTCTGGTCTCTCTCTGGTCTCTCTCTAGTCTCTCTGGTCTCTCTCTGGTCTCTCTCTCTGGTCTCTCTCTGGTCTCTCTCTGGTCTCTCTCTGGTCTCTCTCTCTGGTCTCTCTCTGGTCTCTCTCTGGTCTCTCTCTCTGGTCTCTCTCTGGTCTCTCTCTGGTCTCTCTCTGGTCTCTCTCTGGTCTCTCTCTGGTCTCTCTCTCTGGTCTCTCTCTGGTCTCTCTCTGGTCTCTCTCTGGTCTCTCTCTGGTCTCACTCTGGTCTCTCTCTGGTCTCTCTCTGGTCTCTCGCTCTGGTCTCTCTCTCTGGTCTCTCTCTGGTCTCTCTCTGGTCTCTCTCTGGTCTCTCTCTGGCTCTCTGGTCTCTCTCTCTGGTCTCTCTCTGGTCTCTCTCTGGTCTCTCTCTCTGGTCTCTCTCTGGTCTCTCTTTCTGGTCTCTCTCTCTGGTCTCTCTCTCTGGTCTCTCTCTGGTCTCTCTCTGGTCTCTCTTTCTGGTCTCTCTCTCTGGTCTCTCTCTGGTCTCTCTCTCTGGTCTCTCTCTCTGGTCTCTCTGGTCTCTCTCTGGTCTCTCTCTCTGGTCTCTCTCTGGTCTCTCTCTGGTCTCTCTCTCTGGTCTCTCTCTCTGGTCTCTCTCTGGTCTCTCTCTGGTCTCTCTCTGGTCTCTCTCTGGTCTCTCTCTCTCTCTCTGGTCTCTCTCTGGTCTCTCTCTGGTCTCTCTCTGGTCTCTCGCTCTGGTCTCTCTCTCTGGTCTCTCTCTGGTCTCTCTCTGGTCTCTCTCTGGTCTCTCTCTGGTCTCTCTCTGGTCTCTCTCTCTGGTCTCTCTCTGGTCTCTCTCTGGTCTCTCTCTCTGGTCTCTCTCTGGTCTCTCTTTCTGGTCTCTCTCTCTGGTCTCTCTCTCTGGTCTCTCTCTGGTCTCTCTCTGGTCTCTCTCTCTGGTCTCTCTCTCTGGTCTCTCTCTGGTCTCTCTCTGGTCTCTCTTTCTGGTCTCTCTCTCTGGTCTCTCTCTCTCTCTCTCTGGTCTCTCTCTCTGGTCTCTCTGGTCTCTCTCTGGTCTCTCTCTCTCTGGTCTCTCTCTGGTCTCTCTCTGGTCTCACTCTGGTCTCTCTCTGGTCTCTCTCTGGTCTCTCTCTCTGGTCTCTCTCTCTGGTCTCTCTCTCTCTCTGGTCTCTCTCTCTGGTCTCTCTCTGGTCTCTCTCTGGTCTCTCTCTCTGGTCTCTCTCTCTGGTCTCTCTCTCTGTCTCTCTCTCTCTCTCTGGTCTCTCTCTCTGGTCTCTCTCTGGTCTCTCTCTCTGGTCTCTCTCTCTGGTCTCTCTCTGGTCTCTCTCTGGTCTCTCTCTGGTCTCTCTCTGGTCTCTCTCTCTGGTCTCTCTCTGGTCTCTCTCTCTGGTCTCTCTCTGGTCTCTCTCTGGTCTCTCTCTCTCTCTCTCTGGTCTCTCTCTGGTCTCTCTCTGTCTCTCTCTGGTCTCTCTCTCTGGTCTCTCTCTGGTCTCTCTCTGGTCTCTCTCTGGTCTCTCTCTGGTCTCTCTCTGGTCTCTCCTCTGTGTTTCATGTATGTAACATCTCTATCTCTTCTCTCTCCTGCAGAGGACTTTGTCGGCTGTAAAATGTTCCCGCTTCACAAAGAGAGGTACTGACTCCACACAAACAAACTCAGTCTATCACATCTCCCCCTGACCACAGCTATACAAGCTACAGACTATAGAGATGAACCAGTAACACACTCCCTCTCTGTTCCCTCTCTCTGGTCTCTCTCTGGTCTCTCTCTGGTCTCTCTCTCTAGTCTCTCTCTCTAGTCTCTCTGGTCTCTCTCTCTGGTCTCTCTCTCTAGTCTCTCTCTCTAGTCTCTCTGGTCTCTCTCTCTGGTCTCTCTCTCTAGTCTCTCTCTCTAGTCTCTCTGGTCTCTCTCTCTGGTCTCTCTCTCTAGTCTCTCTCTCTAGTCTCTCTGGTCTCTCTCTCTGGTCTCTCTCTCTGGTCTCTCTCTCTGGTCTCTCTCTCTCTGGTCTCTCTCTCTGGTCTCTCTCTTACAAATCTTTCCTAATTGTAAAACTTGTCTAAACATATTTTTCTTCTGGAGATTCCAAACTAATGGAGTCCATGAATAATTCAACGTTTGGGAAAAGATTCTGTTTCTTTTTCTTGAGAGCAGAAGAGAAGGCAGCGGCTCAGAGGGATGCAGCACAGAGGCCGGTGGTGTGAGGCTACAGAGCGGAGATTAGGATTAGACTGACCAAGCGTGACACCACTTCGGCCCTGAGCACTTCCCTGTTGCGCTTCATTGAGCTAGCGTGTTAGCATAGTCTGTCTGTGGTCTGGGCAGTGAGGGGAAAGTGCACTTCCTGTTTGGAGAGCACAGCGCCCCCTGGAGACCGCTCGCACTCTCACTTAGCCGCTAACTTTAGACTCTGAAATCTGGAACAAACAAGGAGCAGGAAGAAGATCCAAGAGCAACAGAGCGGCTACAACACAGGGGTCTCGGTGCGCACAAACACAGCCAGGAGGGAACGCTGCAAATTCTGCATTTCCCCCACCTGGTCTCTGGTCTTTCCTGGTCTCTCTCTGGTCTCTCTCTCTGGTCTCTCTCTCTGGTCTCTCTCTGGTCTCTCTCTGGTCTCTCTCTCTGGTCTCTCTCTTTGGTCTCTCTCTGGTCTCTCTCTGGTCTCTCTCTCTGGTCTCTCTCTCTGGTCTCTCTCTCTGGTCTCTCTCTCTGGTCTCTCTCTCTGGTCTCTCTCTCTGGTCTCTCTCTCTGGTCTCTCTCTGGTCTCTCTCTGGTCTCTCTCTGGTCTCTCTCTGGTCTCTCTCTCTGGTCTCTCTCTGGTCTCTCTCTGGTCTCTCTCTTTGGTCTCTCTCTGGTCTCTCTTTGGTCTCTCTCTGGTCTCTCTCTGGTCTCTCTCTGGTCTCTCTCTGGTCTCTCTCTTTGGTCTCTCTCTGGTCTCTCTCTGGTATCTCTCTCTGGTCTCTCTCTGGTCTCTCAGCTTTAGTATCTATGATAAAACAGTAGAATATCTGCAGTTATAAAAGTTACGTAACGTAGCTTTAAATGACAGTCACCGCAGTGTTTGGCATTTACCATTAGGTCACCTCAGGGAGGTCCTGTCAGACTGGTTTACATCAACCAGAGAGAGAGACCAGAGAGAGAGACCAGAGAGAGAGAGACCAGAGAGAGACCAGAGAGAGAGACCAGAGAGAGACCAGAGAGAGAGACCAGAGAGAGACCAGAGAGAGGCCAGAGAGAGACCAGAGAGAGAGACCAGAGAGAGACCAGAGAGAGAGACCAGAGAGAGAGACCAGAGAGAGAGACCAGAGAGAGAGACCAGAGAGAGAGACCAGAGAGAGAGACCAGAGAGAGAGACCAGAGAGAGAGACCAGAGAGAGAGACCAGAGAGAGAGACCAGAGAGAGAGACCAGAGAGAGAGACCAGAGAGAGAGACCAGAGAGAGAGACCAGAGAGAGAGACCAGAGAGAGAGACCAGAGAGAGAGACCAGAGAGAGAGACCAGAGAGAGAGACCAGAGAGAGAGACCAGAGAGAGACCAGAGAGAGACCAGAGGGAGACCAGAGGGAGACCAGAGGGAGAGACCAGAGGGAGACCAGAGAGAGACCAGAGAGAGACCAGAGAGAGACCAGAGAGAGACAGAGAGACCAGAGAGAGAGACCAGAGAGAGACCAGAGAGAGACCAGAGAGAGACCAGAGGGAGACCAGAGGGAGACCAGAGAGAGAGACCAGAGAGAGAGAGACCAGAGAGAGAGACCAGAGGGAGACCAGAGGGAGAGACCAGAGAGAGACCAGAGGGAGACCAGAGAGAGAGACCAGAGGGAGAGACCAGAGGGAGAGACCAGAGAGAGACCAGAGAGAGAGACCAGAGAGAGACCAGAGGGAGACCAGAGAGAGAGAGACCTCCTCACAGCTGCTTTAATCACTACAGAAATGGGACAAACTTGTTAATATTTAAACAGATCCAAACGCTCTGATGTTTTAATTGCAGCAAACGAGTGAATTCATGTCAACAACACGCTCCAGTTAAAGGCCCCATAGTAACCATGTGTAAAGGCCCCATAGTAACCATGTGTAAAGGCCCCATAGTAACCATGTGTAAAGGCCCCATAGTAACCATGTGTAAAGGCCCCATAGTAACCATGTGTAAAGGCCCCATAGTAACCATGTGTAAAGGCCCCATAGTAACCATGTGTAAAGGCCCCATAGTAACCATGTGTAAAGGCCCCATAGTAACCATGTGTAAAGGCCCCATAGTAACCATGTGTAAAGGCCCCATAGTAACCATGTGTAAAGGCCCCATACTAACCATGTGTAAAGGCCCCATAGTAACCATGTGTAAATGGCCCCATAGTAACCATGTGTAAAGGCCCCATAGTAACCATGTGTAAATGGCCCCATAGTAACCATGTGTGTCTCAGGGAGGCGGCCATCTTCAGCGCTCGGGCTCACGTGTTCCAGATCGACCCCAACACCAAGAGAAAATGGCTGCCGTCGAGCAAACACGCCGTCACCGTGTCCTTCTTCTACGACAGCAGCAGGAACGTGTACCGCATCATCAGCGTGAGCGGGACCAAGGTAGCTACAGTCTCCCTCTGGTCTCTCTCTGGTCTCTCTCTGGTCTCCCTCTGGTCTCTCTCTGGTCTCTCTCTAGTCTCTCTCTCTGGTCTCTCTCTGGTCTCTCTCTAGTCTCTCTCTCTGGTCTCTCTCTGGTCTCTCTCTGGTCTCCCTCTGGTCTCTCTCTGGTCTCTCTCTGGTCTCTCTCTGGTCCCTCTCTCTGGTCTCTCTCTGGTCTCCCTCTGGTCTCCCTCTGGTCTCTCTCTGGTCTCTCTCTGGTCTCTCTCTGGTCTCTCTCTGGTCTCTCTCTGGTCTCTCTCTGGTCTCTCTCTGGTCCCTCTCTCTGGTCTCTCTCTGGTCTCCCTCTGGTCTCCCTCTGGTCTCTCTCTGGTCTCTCTCTGGTCTCTCTCTGGTCCCTCTCTCTGGTCTCTCTCTGGTCTCTCTCTGGTCTCTCTCTGGTCTCTCTCTGGTCTCCCTCTGGTCTCTCTCTGGTCTCTCTCTGGTCTCTCTCTGGTCTCTCTGGTCTCTCTCTGGTCTCTCTCTGGTCTCTCTCTCTGGTCTCTCTCTGGTCTCTCTCTGGTCTCCCTCTGGTCTCACTCTCTCCTCCTTGCAGACCATCATAAACAGCACTATAACTCCGAACATGAGCTTCACTCAGACGTCTCAGAAGTTTGGGCAGTGGGCGGACAGCAGAGCCAACACGGTGTACGGCCTGGGCTTCTCCACCGAGCAGCAGCTGCAGCAGGTGAGGACCATGTGAGGACCAGGTGAGGACCAGGTCAGAACCAGGTGAGGACCATGTCAGAACCAGGTGAGGACCATGTCAGAACCAGGTGAGGACCAGGTCAGAACCATGTGAGAACAATGACAGTACATAGTACTGTGAGGACTATGTGAGGACCAGAAGAACCATGAACCATGTGACCTGCTCACTAAGCGGTCCCAAACCTTTTTACTGCTAAGAACCAAAATACTATAATATTATTAACAGAACAACCAGAATCCCCCACAAAACAATCACCAAATCTCTCTCTGGTCTCTCTCTCTCTGGTCTCTCTGGTCTCTCTCTCTGGTCTCTCTCTCTGGTCTCTCTCGTCTCTCTCTCTGGTCTCTCTCCCTGGTCTCTCTGGTCTCTCTCCCTGGTCTCTCTGGTCTCTCTCCCTGGTCTCTCTGGTCTCTCTCTGGTCTCTCTCTCTGGTCTCTCTCGTCTCTCTCTCTGGTCTCTCTGGTCTCTCTCCCTGGTCTCTCTGGTCTCTCTCTCTGGTCTCTCTCTGGTCTCTCTCGTCTCTCTCCCTGGTCTCTCTGGTCTCTCTCGTCTCTCTCCCTGGTCTCTCTGGTCTCTCTCTCTCTTTCTGGTCTCACTCTCTCTGGTCTCTCTCTCTGGGACCATGTGTGTGAGTTGATGGTGTGTGTCAGTTTGCAGAGCACTTCCGGGAGCTGAAGGAAGCGGCACGTTTGGCTCGAGAGAAATCTCAGGAACGATTTGAGATTTCCAACGCCACGCTCGGCCTTGGCCTGGCGCCCCCACAGGTCAGAGGCTGCTACTGCACACACACACGCACACACACACACAAATACCACACACACACACACACAAATACCACACACACACACACAAATACCACACACACACACAAATACCACACACACACACAAATACCACACACACACACACAAATACCACACACACACACTGAGACCTGTGTGTTTATAGTGCTTTTCGAGGCAGAAAAACAAAATTAACTAATGATGTCATATTAGTCTCCCTCTGGTCTCTCTCTGGTCTCTCTCTGGTCTCTCTCTAGTTTTGGTCTCTCTCTGGTCTCTCGCTGGTCTCTCTCTGGTCTCTCTGGTCTCTCTCTGGTCTCTCTCTGGTCTCTCTCTAGTCTCTGGTCTCTCTCTGGTCTCTCTCTGGTCTCTCTCTGGTCTCTGGTCTCTCTCTGGTCTCTCTCTGGTCTCTCTCTGGTCTCTGGTCTCTCTCTGGTCTCTCTCTGGTCTCTCTCTGGTCTCTGGTCTCTCTCTGGTCCCTCTCTGGTCTCTCTCTGGTCTCTCTCTCTCTCTGGTCTCTCTCTGGTCTCTGGTCTCTGGTCTCTCTCTGGTCTCTCTCTGGTCTCTTTCTGGTCTCTCTCTGGTCTCTGGTCTCTCTCTGGTCTCTCTCTGGTCTCTTTCTGGTCTCTTTCTGGTCTCTCTCTGGTCTCTCTCTGGTCTCTCTCTGGTCCCTCTCTGGTCTCTCGCTCTGGTCTCTCTTTGGTCTCTCTCTGGTCTCTCTCTGGTCTCTCTCTGGTCTCTCTCTGGTCCCTCTCTGGTCTCTCTCTGGTCTCTCTCTGGTGTCTCTCTCTGGTCTCTCTCTCTGGTCTCTCTCTGGTCCCTCTCTGGTCTCTCTCTGGTCTTTTCCATGTGTAATGGTGTGTTCTGTTTCCTCTGGTTCTGCTCCTGGACTCTGCTGCAGCTTCCTCATGTGAGTAAACCACACACTCCACAGACTGCACAGACAATGCTAATGCTAAACCGCTAACCCGCTAGCTCTGCCAAGCCAACAGGGAAGTGCGAATGTTCGGGATGCTCATGGTGCGAGTATAAGCCAATGGAGCAACCAGGGACAGACATCTTGGAGAGACCAGGGACAGACATCTTGGAGAGACCAGGGACAGACATCTTGGAGAGACCAGGGACAGACATCTTGGAGAGACCAGGGACAGACATCTTGGAGAGACCAGGGACAGACATCTTGGAGAGACCAGGGACAGACATCTTGGAGAGACCAGGGACAGACATCTTGGGTAGACGAGGGACAGACGGAGGCCGACATCCTGGAGAGACCAAGGGCAGACATCTTGGAGAGACCAGGGGCAGACATCTTGGAGAGACCAGGGGCAGACATCTTGGAGAGACCAGGGGCAGACATCTTGGAGAGACCAGGGGCAGACATCTTGGAGAGACCAGGGACAGACGGAGGCAGACATCTTGGAGTTCTTTTTCAGTTGGATTAAAATGGAGAAAGACGATTTGGTTTCTCTTGTGCTTCTTAAAAACGGGCGAGCAGAGAGCACTAATTGCAGAACTGAAATCCTGTAGAACAACCTTTTATTTGGCCTCGTGTGGCGTCTGAGTGCATTCATCCTCACTCTCACTTCCACAACATTTATAATTCATAGAGTTTCATCACAATTACATCGCAATGTGTATCAAAGCAGTGGAGCGAGAGAGACCAGAGCGAGAGAGACCAGAGCGAGTGAGACCAGAGCGAGTGAGACCAGGGCGAGAGAGACCAGAGCGAGAGAGACCAGAGCGAGAGAGACCAGAGCGAGAGAGACCAGAGCGAGTGAGACCAGAGCGAGTGAGACCAGGGCGAGAGAGACCAGAGCGAGAGAGACCAGAGCGAGAGAGACCAGAGCGAGAGAGACCAGAGCGAGTGAGACCAGAGCGAGTGAGACCAGGGCGAGAGAGACCAGAGCGAGAGAGACCAGAGCGAGAGAGACCAGAGCGAGAGAGACCAGAGCGAGTGAGGGACCAGAGAGCGAGTGAGGGACCAGAGAGCGAGAGAGGGACCAGAGAGCGAGTGAGGGACCAGAGAGCGAGTGAGGGACCAGAGAGCGAGTGAGGGACCAGAGCGAGTGAGGGACCAGAGCGAGAGAGACCAGAGCGAGAGAGACCAGAGCGAGAGAGACCAGAGCGAGAGAGACCAGAGCGAGAGAGACCAGAGCGAGAGAGACCAGAGCGAGAGAGACCAGAGCGAGAGAGACCAGAGCGAGAGAGACCAGAGCGAGAGAGACCAGAGCGAGTGAGACCAGGGCGAGTGAGACCAGGGCGAGTGAGACCAGGGCGAGTGAGGGACCAGAGAGCGAGTGAGGGACCAGAGAGCGAGTGAGGGACCAGAGAGCGAGTGGGGGACCAGCGAGCGAGTGAGGGACCAGAGCGAGTGAGGGACCAGAGAGCGAGTGAGGGACCAGAGAGCGAGTGAGGGACCAGAGAGCGAGTGAGGGACCAGCGAGCGAGTGGGGGACCAGCGAGAGTGGGGACCAGAGCGAGTGAGGGACCAGAGAGCGAGTGAGGGACCAGAGAGCGAGTGAGGGACCAGAGAGCGAGTGAGGGACCAGAGAGCGAGTGAGGGACCAGAGAGCGAGTGAGGGACCAGAGAGCGAGAGAGGGACCAGAGCGAGGAGACCAGAGCGAGTGAGACCAGAGCGAGTGAGGGACCAGAGAGCGAGTGAGGACCAGGAGCGAGTGAGGGACCAGAGAGCGAGTGAGGACCAGAGAGCGAGTGAGGGACCAGAGAGCGAGTGAGGACCAGAGCGAGTGAGGGACCAGAGAGCGAGTGAGGGACCAGAGAGCGAGTGAGGGACCAGAGAGCGAGTGAGGGACCAGAGAGCGAGTGAGGGACCAGAGAGCGAGTGAGGGACCAGAGAGCGAGTGAGGGACCAGCGAGCGAGTGGGGGACCAGCGAGCGAGTGGGGGACCAGCGAGGGGAGCGAGTGGGGACCAGGAGCGAGTGAGGGACCAGCGAGCGAGTGGGGGACCAGCGAGCGAGTGGGGACCAGCGAGCGAGTGGGGGACCAGCGAGCGAGTGGGGGACCAGCGAGCGAGTGAGGGACCAGCGAGCGAGTGGGGGACCAGCGAGAGCGAGTGAGGGACCAGCGAGCGAGTGAGGGACCAGCGAGCGAGTGAGGGACCAGCGAGCGAGTGAGGGACCAGCGAGCGAGTGAGGGACCAGCGAGCGAGTGGGACCAGCGAGCGAGTGAGGACCAGCGAGCGAGTGAGGGACCAGAGAGCGAGCGGGGGACCAGCGAGCGAGCGGGGACCAGAGAGCGAGGGGACCAGCGAGCGAGTGGGGGACCAGCGAGCGAGTGGGGACCAGCGAGCGAGTGGGGGACCAGCGAGCGAGTGGGGGACCAGCGAGCGAGTGAGGGACCAGCGAGCGAGTGAGGGACCAGCGAGCGAGTGAGGGACCAGCGAGCGAGTGAGGGACCAGCGCGAGGGGGGACCAGAGAGCGAGTGGGGGACCAGCGAGCGAGTGGGGGACCAGCGAGCGAGTGAGGGACCAGCGAGCGAGTGAGGGGACCAGCGAGCGAGTGAGGGACCAGCGAGCGAGTGAGGGACCAGCGAGCGAGTGAGGGGACCAGCGAGCGAGCGGGGGGGACCAGCGAGCGAGCGGGGACCAGCGAGCGAGCGGGGGACCAGAGAGCGAGCGGGGGACCAGCGAGCGAGCGGGGGACCAGCGAGCGAGCGGGGGACCAGCGAGCGAGCGGGGGACCAGCGAGCGAGTGGGGACCAGCGAGCGAGTGAGGGACCAGCGAGCGAGTGAGGGACCAGCGAGCCAGCGAGCGAGGGGGACCAGCGAGCGAGTGAGGGACCAGCGAGCGAGCGGGGGACCAGAGAGCGAGTGAGGGGGACCAGCGAGCGAGCGGGGGACCAGCGAGCGAGCGGGGGACCAGAGAGCGAGTGAGGGACCAGCGAGCGAGTGGGGGACCAGCGAGCGAGTGAGGGACCAGAGCGAGTGAGGGACCAGCGAGCGAGTGAGGGTGACCAGAGAGCGAGTGAGCGAGCTTCAGTCGTGTTTATTCATTTATTTATTTAAGGAGTTGGTTTCTGCACTCTCTGAATAATACAGGACTTGAGTGCAGCTGGGGGGAGAGAGTGAGAGAGGGGGGAGAGAGATCTGAGCAGGATTCTTCTCTCCTCTCTCATATGTAGATTCTAACTTGTTAAAGCTACAATAAGATATAAACTTTGTTCTTCCTCAAACATATCATAGATCAGCCATTCCCAAACTCGGTAACACCGAGGCCCCCTTAAAAATCTGACGGGTCTGCGTGGCCCCCCAAAATAATAACCAAGAAGACAACATTAAGAATAGGCTCTTCTGGTTATTTTATTTTGGGGAAATAGCCTCTGCTACAAACATTGTAATACAAAAATGATTACAGTGGATTATTCAAGTCAAATAATGAACACAAATATTTTAATATTACAAACAAAACATTATAAATTTAACATTAAATAATTATATTATTTTTTTAGGGCGACAGTAGCTCAGTTGGTAGAGCAGAGCATTGGCCTTAAGGCCAGAAGGTCGTGGGTTCAATTCCCACCTCTGCACCTTCTCCACCGACTCCCACTGATGACTGCTGTCGTTGTGTCCTTGGGCAAGACACTTAAACCCACTTTGCCCAAAGCCCCCACTGAAAGATCAAGGCTATGCTCACACTCAGAGAGCAGCCGTCCTCCTGTGGACTCACCACCTGCAGAGGGTCAGTGAGGGGCTGGTGCTATGAGACTTGGGTGGCATCTCTGACTGCCACCCCCCTGACCCAGAAATGGATTAAAGGGTAGAAAATGGATGGATGGATGGATTTATTTTTTTATTTTTTTTATGACCTCCCGCGGCCCCCCTGCAGTACCCTCGCGGCCCACCAGGGGGCCGCGGACCCCACTTTGGGAGACACTGTCATAGATAATACAGTCGTAGATAATACAGTCGTAGATAATACAGTCGTAGATAATACAGTCGTAGATAATACAGTCGTAGATAATACAGTCGTAGATAATACAGTCGTAGATAATACAGTCGTAGATAATACAGTCGTAGAGTCAGATAATACCTGTGCTACATAAATCACCTGGTACCTGTGCTACATAACTAACCCTGTACCTGTGCTACATAACTAACCCTGTACCTGTGCTACATAAATCACCTGGTACCTGTGCTACATAACTAACCCTGTACCTGTGCTACATAAATCACCTGGTACCTGTGGTACATAAATCACCTGGTACCTGTGGTACATAAATCACCCTGTACCTGTGCTACATAAATCACCTGGTTCCTGTGCTACATAACTAACCCTGTACCTGTGCTACATAAATCACCTGGTACCTGTGCTACATAAATCACCTGGTACCTGTGCTACATAAATCACCTGGTTCCTGTGCTACATAACTAACCCTGTACCTGTGCTACATAACTAACCCTGTACCTGTGCTGCAGGCGCTCTCAGAGGAGCGGCAGTCTCCCCCTCTTCTCTCGGTGAAGGGTCCAGAGGAGAAACTGTTCAGGAGCCACAGCGCTGAGGAGCAACTGACGAAGGAGACGCAGTCTGAGGGGTCTGTGTACTCTCCCATACTCTACTCTACTCTACTGATGGGTTGTGGGTCGGTTGCTAGGATACCATACGAGATACTACAGTGTAAAGGAGTAACTGACTGAGAGTCCACAGGCTGAAGCCGGTGTTTTGGCAGTTTGCCCTATTCCCGCGGTGACGAATGTGGACCAGAGAGAGAGACCTGAGAGAGAGAGACCTGAGAGAGAGAGACCTGAGAGAGAGAGACCTGAGAGAGAGAGACCTGAGAGAGAGAGACCTGAGAGAGAGAGACCTGAGAGAGAGAGACCTGAGAGAGAGAGACCTGAGAGAGGGAGACCTGAGAGAGAGACCTGAGAGAGAGACCTGTGAGAGAGACCTGTGAGAGAGACCTGTGAGAGAGAGAGACCTGTGAGAGAGAGACCAGAGAGAGAGAGAGAGACCAGAGAGAGAGAGAGAGACCAGAGAGAGGGAGAGAGACCAGAGAGAGAGAGAGAGAGACCAGAGAGAGAGAGAGACCAGAGAGAGAGAGAGACCAGAGAGAGAGAGACCGGAGAGAGAGAGACCGGAGAGAGAGAGACCGGAGCGAGACCAGAGCGAGACCGGAGCGAGACCAGAGCATATTGATTTCTCTCTGCTACAAACGTGACTCAATATTCGCCTCATTTCTCTGATGCACAGCTTGAAATGTTTGTTTTTGCATTATCCTCCTCCTCCTCCTCTCTCTCCTCTTCCTCTCTCTCCTCTTCCTCTCTCTCCTACTCTCTCTCCTCCTCTCTCCTACTCTCTCTCCTCCTCTCTCTGTAATCCTCCGCAGATATCTGTAAACACAGATCTGCAAACAGCCTGAAATAACTCTTTGTCCAAACAGGAATCATGCACTTTTTTATTTACAATGTGAAAAATGTGGATCAAAGAACTTCATCTCTGGTCTCTCTCTGGTCTCTCTCTGGTCTCTCTCTGGTCTCTCTCTGGTCTCTCTCTGGTCTCTCTCTCTGGTCTCTCTCTCTGGCCTCTCTCTGGTCTCTCTCTGGTCTCTCTCTGGTCTCTCTCTGGCCTCTCTCTCTGGTCTCTCTCTCTGGTCTCTCTCTGGTCTCTCTCTCTGGTCTCTCTCTGGTCTCTCTCTGGTCTCTCTCTCTGGTCTCTCTCTGGTCTCTCTCTGGCCTCTCTCTCTGGTCTCTCTCTCGGGCCTCTCTCTGGCCTCTCTCTGGTCTCTCTCTGGTCTCTCTCTCTGGTCTCTCTCTGGTCTCTCTCTCTGGTCTCTCTCTGGTCTCTCTCTCTGGTCTCTCTCTGGTCTCTCTCTGGTCTCTCTCTCACAGGTCTCTCTCTCACAGGTCTCTCTCACAGGTCTCTCTCACAGGTCTCTCTCTCAGGTCTCTCTCTCAGGTCTCCCTCTCTCAGGTCTCTCTCTCTCAGGTCTCTCTCTCTCAGGTCTCTCTCTCTCAGGTCTCTCTCTCTCAGGTCTCTCTCTCTCAGGTCTCTCTCTCTCTCTCAGGTCTCTCTCTCTCAGGTCTCTCTCTCTCAGGTCTCTCTCTCTCCCCCTGGTCTCTCTCTCTCTGGTCTCTACACTGATAGTACCATATGTGTCTAGGACCATGTGTGAGCTGCAGCTGGAGGCCGAGCTCTTCTCGCTACAGAACAGTAACTCCAAACTGGAGGAGGCGCTGGAGGAGGCGCACTGCAGCGCGGAGCAGTGGAAGAGCCAGCTGCAGGAGTACCAGGAGGAGACCGAGCGCCTCCGGGACCAGGTGAGCACATCAGAGGGGGAGGAGAGGCAGGAGAAAAGGGAGAGAACCAGCTACTGTACGGGACCAAGTGAGCAAACCATCATTTCGTCTCCCCCTCTCGCTCACTTCTCTCCCCCCTTCCTCTCATCCCATCTGTCCTCTCTCCACTCCTCCCTCTCTCCTCTTCACCTCCTCTCTCCTCTTCACCTCCTCCCTCCTCCTCTTCACCTCCTCCCTTCTCTTCACCTCCTCCCTCCTCCTCTCTCCTCTTCACCCTCCTCCCTCCTCCTCTTC